TAAAACACTATTAGATTTAAAAATTATTCTATATTACGCCCTCCGTGCCCATCACTATTGTAAAGCTTTCAAAAGGACATTTAATTATAATTCATCTAACCCATTCCGCGTTTAAAACCGTTCAAAGTTTTACATACAAGTGGTTTTAGGTGTTGCAAGCAAAGAATAAAATGTTCGTTATTGATCAAAATTAAATGGATTTGATGCAATATATACTAAATCAATGAACTCATGCAACAAACGGTTTTGAAAGAGGGCAATTAGAACCGGGCAAACTCCGCCTGATTACAAAACGTGAAGACTCTTTCAATTTCCTTTGCAACATATATCCGTGCACGTGCTGATTAGTTTGCCACTATAATTTTCCCCTGTTGAAAGCCGTCTTCCGTTTTCAGTCTGTGGATTTCAGAATATTCGCAGCTAATCTATAGTGTATTTTTTCTAACTTGGTATTTTTGGTAAACACACAATTTCTTTGAACTCGTGATTTTCTCACAAGGTTTACATTGATTTACACTAAAAACACTTTGAGGCACTAGATTTTATATTATACTAACTAACGAACTAGGATGGGTGTAACAGTAACAAACCGATTAGGCGACATTTTGAAATTAATTTTCATACTGTCACTCAATTAGTACAACAATCATTGCAAAAAATTAATTAAATACCCCTTGTCTAAGAATCATGTAGCTTATTAAAATTTTCTTAATAGCTGTTAGGTTTATCATTATTTAACAATCAACAATTGACCAGTTCGTACCAGCAATAAACCAGACGTTGAGCCAATAAATAAAATCATTTTTTTATAATCAAGAATATTTTTATTTTAACTACTAAATTGTTTTGTACGTAATAATTATCACAACTTTTTATCAGTCTATAAGAACTTCAAGTAATACTAAAATGCTACAAGGCTAATAATGTTGTTAACTAACTTAAGAACTATAGAGTATAGATAATTAATAAGAGTTTCTTATCACTTACGCAAGTATCATAATCATAACTTGCAATAATAAAATATTTATGTATTAAAAATATAAAATCAATCAAAATAAAAAGAAAACAATGACAGTACTTCTGAACTGAATAACCAACAAACAAACAAAACATACTTTAATTTCACCACAATGTTACAAAATAAACTTATATTATAACAAAATGTAGCGAGAAAAGGCGGCCTTATCGCTAAAAAGCGATTTCTTCCAGGCAACCTTGAAAATGGAGATTTACAATAATACATGATAATAATAAGGGTAACACAACAGCTGTAATGGATATTTTAACTTTATTTTATATATGAGCCTAGTGTGGGGTATGTTGTATTTTCGACATGTGTCTCGAATTTTTGCACCATTACTTATTTCGTCATTCGCTTTTAACACATCTTCCTCTTTATAGTTAAAAAAAATATTTTCGACAGCATTATCTGTAAATAAATGTAGGTGTGGTCAATTACTGAAACACCCTCGTCGTATAGATATTACCACTGGTCTTTAACTGGAACATTGTGGATTTACTTGTCTTGTGTACAAAAAATAATCAAAATGCTAAATCACTAGTAGCAGACCAAATAGAATATTACTGGAAATTCATTCATTTTGTGTTCCATTATTTTACCAATGACAATTATTAAATTAAATTAGCTTTTGCTGATGAAATAGGCGTAATATTATTGCTTTATAGCACATAATTAGAAAAGTGGTAACAGCAATTGATATAAACACAAATACAAACAGATTTAAAAAACTAACTTTTACTTGTAAATAAAAAGACAAGGTCACAGAACAAGTAACAATTACAGAACTCGGACTTAACTCACGAAAGCCAAGAATGCGCATATAAGGATCTAACCAACTGCTGCAAGATGACATAATTTCTCATAAAAATTAATTTTAACAAGGAATTTATGTAAGAAATGAGATTTCTCGTTTAACAGGTATTCGCATGTGTGTGAGTAGGGCCGACGAACGAGTGAAATGAATTGCTTACTTTCACGGATTACTTGTGAAATGTGCGATTTGCGCAAGATCTGCGCGTACGCAGCTCGAGACCGCCGCGGCGAAAATTATCACGTTACAGTGAACAAGCATTACCCAACACACTTGCTGGGTTCCCCTGTTCATATTTCTTTAATTAAATATTGTATAACTGCTAATTTTAATGCGTAGTACACATCCTGATTACAGAAATATAACTAAACGTGTGTCGTTCTACTTCTGTTTACTACGAGGAAGACGTTGAGCATGGGGTTCTCTTAATGGTAGGTGAAATATCTTGTGGAAGAGATCGCATATTAGGCCGTCCGATGCATGGCGACAGTTTAAAATAGCATAGCGTATCTGTACGTTCTGTTTTTGTGTACTTAAGTGTGAAATAAATAAATAAAAACCCCAGCCATATAAGATCTAAGCAAGATACGATGTCGACCTATTTTGGTTTTGGATATTTGGACGGCCTCTGTAGCAAATGGTTAAACGTGTTGCCTAGCATTGCGTTACGCGCGAGAAGGTTCTGGGTTCTAATCGCAGGAAAACAAAATAATGTTTTAGTTGGGCAAGGCGCAGAAGTCTGATCAACTACTTGCTTGTTAAAGAACTTATCAGTGAAACGTTTATAGAAATGTGTTCGCCCCATGCCCCACGAGGGGGAAACTGGGTTTCACTCAGATATTTCTACGATTAATAATATTTATAGCTTAATCACTGTACCATATAAAAACAGTTCATATAATAAACGTTTGCTTTCGTTTTTAAATCCTTATATGGAAGTCTTAGTTTACCTTACAAGAGAATTTTACATCAATAAGAATTAGTGCAGATCTTTGTGTCAAATGTATCTACTATTAGGACAAAGACCACTTTAAAAGCGTCCCATCTCACAAATAGTTACAAAGAAAACAAAAGCAATATCGTAGAATGAGTGTTTGCATAATTCAGACGCCCTGAAGCTCGTAGCGAGAAAATGATGCAAAAGCACGGAGCTATGACCTCCTCTGCACCTCGGTTTAATGTGCTTCTATTAGTCTGTGGTACGTTTATATCCGTTTTCACCAGTGGGGCATGGGGCGATCACATTTTTATATCCGTTTCACTGTAGGATTTGCTTACAGTCAAGCAGTTGACCGTGGCTGTAGCTAAATGGTTAAACGAATTGCCTGCAGGTGCTGGCTTCGAATCCCGGGGAAACAACAGATATAGAGAACTTGCCCCACCCTATAACCAAGTAGTTTAGTTTTTAGTACGAAATACTAAGCTAGGATCCTTTATAGCAATCGGTACTAAAAACTATAGTTTTCTCTTTTATTATAGAGCGAAACATAATTGCGGTTATCCTGAGCGTGTCATGAATATTAATTTTTGAATGTTTGTTATTATTAGCGTGCCTTGGCATCGAATCAAATGCTAGTGCTAGATAGAGGTTTAGTACCTAATACTCTACAATTAATGAAGTTCCAAAAGAGAAGAAATTCGATTAACTGCCTGTAAGTATATACTGTCAAGTTTACGCGAATAAATTTAAATAAAACACTTTAAGGTTTAAAAGCGATATATTAGTTAAACTTATTTGAAAATGATTTTTAATTCCTTGGCTTTACACCGTGTCACGGGGAGACTAAAGATGGAGGATTCTCAGACGTCAAAGTAAAGAATTCTACTAGCCCATCTGTTCCGTCGAAGTTGGTATTTGGCGAAACTGCCGGTCCTTAAGAATTGACTAGGTTTGTTTTGGTAGTGTTTATTGGGATAATTTTTAATATGGGATCGTTTGATAGTTTGAGGTCCTCCCTATTGAAATTTGTTTTTTTGATTTCAAGTTCGGTACCAATCTTGGAAAAAATGACTCTTTTAGGATTTTGTTGTAAAGGAATGTAGATGGGCTTTATGAGTTGGAAATTAAGAGTTTAGTTTTATATCCGGGATAGAACTTGTTGGTACCACCAGCAAGTGTACTATCCCTTACAAGATGCAGGCGTTTACAGACTGGATTGTGATTGTGGCCTATCCTACATCGGCCAAACAAAGCGTAGCATCTCAAACAGAATTAAAGAACACGTCGCGGATATAAAACATAAACGTCTCTCCAAATCTGCGGTATGCCAACACTCATCAGAAGGGCCCAATCACTACATTGCTTTGACCAACCAAAAATCCTCGCAAAGGAGAGTCGATTTTTTCCAAGATTGGTACGAAGCAATTGAAATCAAAAAACACCGAAATTTCAATAGGGAACTCAAAAAACACCTGGATCCCATATTAAAAACTCTGGATCCCAATAAACAGCATACCCAGCAAACGCGAAGACACCGTTAGTCAATTCTGTAAGGACCCGGCCAGGTTCCACCAGTTTCGCCAAAAACCAACTTCGACGGAACAGATGGCGCTAGCGTAGCAATTAATTACCTTCGACTGAGGACATCCTCCATCTTTAGTCTCCCCGTGACCACGGCTGCTGCAAAGCATCCGAAACGTCGGGCCGAAGTTAAAAATCATTTTCAAATAAGTTTAACTAATATATGCGTTTTAAACCGTTAAAGTGTTTTATTTAATGCCTGTAAGTATGTTAAATAAACAAAAAAAAAAAAAACATAACGCCAGTGTAAACAGTAAAAACTAAACCTACTTCTCGCGTCCCAATTTTACCCTGTTGCTTAGGCTATGGTATACCCCATATCATCTAAACGAGATGCGCCGGCGACTTATTTTGGCTTTGGATATTTGGAAATCCACAGACTAAAGCCCAAACACGATTACGCTTGACGGCTTTTTCATCTGTGGACGGTGGTTTAGTTAAACATGTTTCAGAAATTGGAAATTGACTAGAAACATTTGACCCGGTGGGTATCCCACTCATAACCCGTTAATTATTAGCTTTTCTACCATCAGAAAGCTAGGAATTGATGATGTACGACAGTCCTTAATCTAATAAATAAATAAATTAGACCGACGAGCCCGACGAAAACTAATACGGACTACATATTGTTATTTAAAGTAGCGAAATTACATTTCGTCCACCACAGGACTCGAATATTCGCGATCTGCAATAAAGATGTAGTCATCACTTAACCAACAAGGCAGTTCGAAATTATCCCTTTCGCAATTAGAGTTGTGCCACTACTCGTCAATTCTTTCATTCATAGCGAATAAACCGGTTTCATTTAATCAGCCTCACTAGTGATGTAATAATTACCGTTACCATAGATATTTCATTCGAAAGCGCGTTAGAAAACGTTGTTATGTGACATTAAATATGTAAAGTGATGTAAATTAAATTTTTGCGAATACATTTTTTTACGCTGAGTGAGAATTTTGACTCACTACATCCGGTTATAGCGAATGGGAAGTTCTTCAACACTAACCTCCTGGTTGTAAATCATTTAAATTAAAGCACACCTTTAAACATACTTTAAAATATGACTTATTCTAGAATGGGCTTATCGCTTAGAAGCCATGTCTTCTAGATAACATAAACACTTATTTGCAGTCTTAAGAGAGGACTTAATAAAAAACGGTGTGACATGAAAGGCGGCGAGTTTTTTGCCAGTTCTTCTCGATCATTCTGTGGTCTTAAATTGAGAACTGGCTGTCGTTTAGGATATTTTTTATTAACTCAGACTGGTTACTAAAAATAGGTTATGTATAATAGGTTATATATAATGGTTAGGTTATATATATAAATAATTCTTCGTTTGAATTATTTTTGAAAAACTTTATAAGTGTTATAATATTACCAACTAGAATCGTAAACTACAACTCAGTAATGCGTTCTATACATTTTTTTAAAGTTTTCAAAAATGTTTCCTTAAAAAGACGGATTTTAAATAATAATTTCACCTTTTTAATTATTCTAAATAAAACACACAACTTCATTTTCGTTTGGTCAAAGTAATAAAAACATCAAGACACTTTCACTTTAGATATATAATTAACTCTATATTATCTGTTAATTATGATATAAAAAGAAACTGCCATTTTAAACATCGTAATCACTTGCTATACTAAAGAATTAGACGAATTATAAATAACATTTTAAATATTTTATCTGTACTTTATTATTTGTTATAGCTTGCAACATAATGGTTAAACGTATTGTGTTGCCAGTACCTACTTCTACTAGTAAAACAAAAGTTGTAACCTATACTAATACAGGTTAGCCGAAGAATTTGTTTGAACTCGCTTATCTCAGGAACTACTGGGCGCTACGAAAAATAATTATTCATCTCTAAAAATTTTATCCTATTGTGGGTTTTATCATCTTGTAAGATTGACTTACAAGAACCGGTTGTGTGATAATAAAATTTTGCGAAATACTTGGTATAGCAAAATATAGTCCGTGATTAAAAAATTGAGTTCTGTAAACAGCCAAAGAACTTAAAAATTATATTAGAACAAAAAGCCTTAACGTTACAGTAATTGAATTGGATTCTCTAAGCCTATCACTGTGCAAACACTGTATAACCAAGATAAATGGCCACATCATTCATCATACAACTTTGTGGTTATTAGCCTTCTTATACTTGAGAATTACTTTGCTAAGGCCGGCTAAGTAATAAGTATACTTGCCGTAGATGTATTGTTTGAAATTAATCATTGAAATCGAAATGTAAAATATTTTAAACTTGTAGTGTGTAAGGATAGGAAGACGTAAAGAGAAACGTGAGCATGTATAAAAATAACCAAACACGACACAATAATTTATTATTGACACCGGAACGCCTACGAGGGGTTACCAAGTGATAAAAATACTTAAAATGTTAAAACAAGTAATAAGAAAATTAGTGTTGTTTTCAAATTTTGTCAAAATTAAATAAACAATGTTATGTTAGGGTAATCCTTATCACTTAATGAAAATCAGAACGAAATCGATTCGTAGGCTTGTGCATATAAAATTTTATTAAATTGGTCGAGCCGTTATTGAGGAATATTGAGACTATGACACACGAATTTTATATCAGATAATCACTAAGCTTTTAGGAGATTGTAACGCGCTTGTCGCAAAAAGTCTTTTAAGAAATGACAAATTGGCTTCGGCGAGTGTTTTATCTTGAATTTTATTTATTTAACTTATATGTTTTTTATAAGTAAAAGTAACAAATTTAAGATTTAAATGCGACGTAGGTTAAAACACTGATAAATAATGTATTTATATTTTATTCATTACTTTTCTCGAGGCATCACTTAAAGTTTGGTTTATACCTAGGTATAGCTAAGTCTAAGTTTTATAATTACATAAATTTACTTAACTATTTTCCTCTTATATTTAAATTGTGGCATTAAATATTTATATTCGTTATGCTTTGTTTAATATACAATAATAACTATCTAAGTAAATCGTATAAAGAATTACCAAGGACACGATAAAACGTTTCGGTCTGTCAGGACTCAAAATTTTTTCATCTGATTGCCAATAGACGTTATCAGCGAAACAAGTAAATAAGTGTGGCTGATATATACAAAGAAAAAAAGAGGGAACCCAAATGATTTTAACGTAGTTAAATTAATAATACGTTAATATTTTACTATATATATGGAATTTTACCAAAGAAATAAACAGTATGAAACATCTCACTGTACCACTTCGTTTAATGAAATGAATCGCTGAACTTCTGTTGCGAACTCCGAAGAAGTAATTACTGACAAATCTATTTAAATCGTAATCAATTCTAACTGCTTGAGTAAGCTGGTATTATCTTTTGTGATTGCCTTTAATTCTTCGTTGAGATATTAACAGCTGTAATGAGTTTTATATCTTGTTAAGTTGATGTTAATTTAAGTTTGACAAAATCGAAAATGCTTAAAACTGAACTGAACTGAAAAAATGGCAGCGATGTAGGTAAGAGTTAAAAAACAACGGCTGGAATCAATTCCCGCCATTTTTTTGTATTTTTTTTTCTGATACATGTTGGACTTCGTTTGGACATCTGGATATTAAATGGGTGGTAGGAACATCGAAATCACGTCCGAAGCATGAACGACCTACAGCTGCGAAGTTTAATCATGTTTCGGTTCGGTCCGATTTCAGAAATCCAAAGCCAAATTATGTCGATGTTATCTTTTGTTATGTCTGGGTTATTGCACATACAAGTAAGTGAGCCTTATGCTTATCTGTCCTCTATCATAGAAAAAAATTATATCGTATTCAGTGTGGTTGAACAAGAATCCCTAGTTCTATTAGTATACGTGAAGAGACGTTTGACATCTGTAAGTTTTCAAGTTAAATTGTCCGTGATACTTTATAGTAAAAGTTTTTACTATCTTCTATAGAATGTTACTATTCGAATTCACTGCATTGGAAACCATAGATAAGAGAATAAAGGTGACATGAGCAAGTTCAAATACAGATTATGCATCGATTCAAAAAGTGCGCGATTTTAGAAGCTTTCGAGCATAGAAGGGCAAACTAAGGCGTGGAGAATCTATAAAATAACTTTTCTATGCAGATGAAGTCATATAGAGGTCATTTATTAATAATTATATTTGCATTACATTAGGCGAGGGGTGCATGTATCAAGAAGTTGAAAAAATAGTCGATCACGTGTGAGACACGGTGGCTCAATTAGTTAGAGCAACGGCAAAGAATGCTGTGTATGCCGGTTCAAGACCTGCACGTTAAAGTTATTCTAAAATAGATTTTTAATTTATTAATAAATCTACCTGTAAGTAGACAATAGTTATATTTTTGGTTACTTCTATTAAAGAAAAGATGGATTATATTAGACATACTTTCATAATCTCGGTAGATTGAACCGGTCTTCAAATGAAAAAGTCGGAAATATAAATCATCTACAAGTACTAGATTTAGATTTAACAGAAGACGTATCTTAGCAGAAGGACCTGATAAAGGCTGATTTTTATCGGTTTAAAACACGAAATTTATTACTTAACTTATTTAAAATTTATTTTAACTACGGTCCGACGTTTCGGATGTTTTGAAGCAGTCATGGACACGGTGGGAGACAGCTGAAAGTGTTTTATTGAAATGTGTACTGCTCGCGTGAATAACAGGGAGGAGATACTTACTTTTCGACGCCCAAAGCTGCCCATCATTAAGAGCGGTGATGTATGTCCTAAGGTCGGTTTCACATCCGAGCGACACACTATGATTGCCTCCGTCAATCAAAAATTCCATCCAGTCATGATGGTCTAGTAAGTTTTTCATCCACGCCATTCGCGATGGTGATAAACGCACAGTCTCGTTTGTAGCACCCACCCCACACACAAACACAACAACTAACACAAGGAACATCGTCTTCATTTTGTTTGTTTACACACTGGGCATATCCAGATTATTTATACTCACTAATTGAATTCACTCTCACACACACTGCATCATTCTGAAACAAAGAATTAAAATTAATTAGGCTTCAGTCAAGTTTTTATGCGTCTGCGCAGTTTTTTGTTAAAGGTACGTGTTTAATTGCGTTAACAAAACATGTTTAGTTTATAATGTCATGGAGTTTAACTCTACTCCGTCCGGTTTTTTGTTTTTAATTTCCAAGCTGTCGTAGTCTTTTTCTACTTGATACTGCAGAGCAATGACTTGTGCAGCTTTAAAAGCTGAAGTAATTTTTAAGCCTTGTCAATACTCGGTTTAGTTCAGAAGTTTTTATGACATCGAAGGACACAGTGATCCTCAAACGATAAGTGAAATGCCCAAGGTCTTTGAGATCCAATTTATCTATTTGATCTTTAGTTTTTCCACTTGAAGGCGGTGGTTTATCATTCAGGTGGGATACCGACATTTAGACTATCAATTTATGCTAATAAAATTAGTTAGAAAATATATAGCCCCGAGGGAGAATCGAATCGACAATACAATAATATATATGAGATATTTCAAACATTGAGCATAATAATTTCGATAATACGGTACAGTGCATTTTTTTAATGCTACACCTCAGCCTATAGCATCTAAACAAGAAGCACTGTCGACCTATTTTGGCTTTGAATTTTCTGAAATCCATGGGCCTTAACCGAAACGCGGTTAAACTTCACTTTTTCATATGTGGACGGTGGTTCGTGACGCGGTGGGAATTTACGATATCCCTCCGAATTCTATATCAGACGAAGTGCAACATGTGTCAGACTAAGAAAAATTATAAATTGAAAAATTATAAATTGAAAAATTATAAATTGAAAAATTAAATTGAATAAACTGAAAAATTATAAATTGTAAATTAAAAATTATAAACACGTTCGACCCGGTGGGGATCGCACCCACGACCCGTTGATTATTAGCGTTGCCAACGAGAAAACATTGAACAATATTGGATTATGAAGTATGAAGCACTACAGACACAAAATAATATCCGATTGAGCTAAAATGCTTTTCATGTACTTATAAACTCCGTTCACCAAGATCGAAGTATGTAATTCTTCTATTCGTCGAACAAGTCGCTGGCACGAAGCTTTTAACTGAATTTCCTCTAACAAAACGCATTCATGTATTATATAGCGTTTTATTCAGTGTTTCAGCCTGTTTTTCAGAAATTTTCAACATCGATGATGACTACAGCTATTTCTATCTATATTTATTAATATTCGTTAAAAATAACACGATATTACCTACGATATAAAGCAAATAACCTATCTTAATATCGTAGGCCCGAAAAAAAATTGTCTGTAGAACACTTTAAACGGTTTAAAACGCGAAATTTATTAGTTAACTTATTTACTTTAAGTAATTTATTTTATTTTGGGCGGACGTTTCAGATGCTTTGCAGCGTAGTACACATTTAAATAAAACAATTTTAACGGCTTAAAACGTGAAATGTAATATTTATCTTATTTAAAATTATTTTAAGTAAGGTCCGACGTTTCGGATGCAGCAGCCGCCGTCACCAGGGAAACAACTGATAAACTTTAAATAAGTTCATTTCGCGTTTTAAACCGTTAAAAGTGATTTATTGAAAATCTCTGTTTCCAACAGAAGTTTTATGTAAACTATTGCGTGGGTTAACGTTTTAAAAATAATTCAGATTGCGGAATATACCTTCTTTTAAATTTCAATTAAACACAATGCGTCTAAGAAATACATTATTTGTTGTGCGTTTATGTAATGCTTGGTTTTCTTATTAACATAAAACTGACATAACGCGAATACCTATAGGTGATTGACCCGATTTTAAAGAGAAATCAAGTAAGCCGTTTACCTACTTATCGACGTGTCTACTACCTGAATTATATCTAGAATACTCAGTACTGCGTCAAATGTCTGAATAAAACACTGTCTGTAGGTTACGCGAGTAGTGCACACCTAAATATAAACCAAATAAAACAGTTTGAAACGTCGAGCCGTATTTAAAAAGAATTTGCAAGTTCAATTAATATATGTCGTGTTTTAAACCGTCAAAATGTTTTATTTAAAAGTGAACAAAACGCTTATCATATTGACGGCCTCGTTGGTCTAATGGATACGGGTTGTAGGTTCCATTTCCAGTTTTAGGATATCCGTACCTTTTTCAGTTAGATCTTAGATAGTCTGTTGTGGTATTACAGAAATCCGTTCAGTTCACAATCCAACAAACAGTGCAACTTAATTAGTTAGTATCCTACAATATCTACTTAATGTAAAGTAAAACAAACACCCTATTTATAAATAGAGAAAACCACGATAATGTTATGTGTGCTTGCAGTCTATAAAGAACTTGTAACAAAAACTTGGCGATAAATGGAATGGCGGCGAGTTTCTTGCCAGTTCTACGCCCTCAATTTGGGAAGAGTAAATATTTCATTAAAATTTATTAATTTTTTACTTTTTTAACGTTCATAAGTATACTTATCTACATGAATATATTATTTTTAATTTAATTTAATTCGATTATAATTTTTTATCACTTATATTAGTGATAATTATATTTTAATAAAAACCAAAAATTACTCTAATGCACGATTATAATTGTTAATAATTGCGCGTTTATAATGAAATTCTCACGATTAAAACTCTTAAGTTATTCAGTAAAAAGGGTGAACAAATAACAAGACATCGAAACCGCAAAACTTCGACGACAAAAACCGACCGCTTAGTTTTGTACTGAAAACGAATTGAAAATCTTCTTGAATTCCTTTTACAGAATAACGGTTTTAATAACAAGCGATTCGGAATTACATTTTTATCCCTTTATGATGTCCGCCTTTGTCCTTCTAACGGACTGCTAAGCCGTGTTCGGACAAACAGATTTTTTAATGAAAAAGATGAAAGGACTTTTTATCAAAATTAATATCTTCTTTTATACAGGACACACAGGCAAGCGGTACATTTGTTGGTATGTGATATACCCCTGCAACATCTAAACAAGATGCGTTTGGCTTTGAATGTTCGGAAATGCACCGACTTTATAATCTAAAGACGTTTCTCGGAGGGATTTTTTTTCCACAAATTTAATATCCAGATTTCCAGACAAAGTTTAAGATGTTTAAAAAAATGATACTTTAGTTACAAAGTTTGTTCCAGTGGGGATCAAATCCACGACTTATTGCTATCATTGGACTAACAAACAAATGTCATATGTAGGTATAATAGAAAATATAAAAGGTATAATAAATTCGTAAATATTTAAGTAAAACAAATTGTTTTACTAATGGAATTGTTCATTGATTTTATATTTTTAGATTTTTTATGAATAATACCTCATATAAGAAACAGTTTTCTTTAAATTCGTCGCTTGAGTGTTTTGTTTAATTTGTATCTTTAATCCAATTACCACTGCGCAATTTAATTTCCCTGTAGGCTTAATCCATTTTCCTTAGCTATGCTTAAATTAATCTATTCTAATGTTAAATACAGTCTATAGTTTATGCGAGTAGTACACATTTAAATAAAACACTTTAACGGTTTAAAACGCGATATATTCGCGCCCGACGTTTCTCTCTCTCCGTGTCCACGAGCCGAGTCTCCCCGTGACCACGGCTGCTGCAAAGCATCCGAAACGTCGGGCCGAAGTTAAAAATCATTTTCAAATAAGTTTAACTAATATATCGCGTTTTAAAACGTTAAAGTGTTTTATTTCAATATTCTAATGTTATAAAGCTGAAGTGCTTATTTGTTTGTTAAAACCAGCTAATCTCAAGAATTACTATACCATTTATATACATTCACACTGCGAGCAATAGAAGCAAAGGAACCGTTAAAAATGTGGGGAAAACGGAAAAATTAATAATCTTTAAGGATTTCCGTCGCGAGCGTTGCGAAATAGATTCAAGAAACGAGATTCAAGAAACCAAAAGATATGTGTATAAAGGAGTGATTGCTTATTTAAGGATCTAAAAAAGTCCGCGACAGAATATTATAATCTCTCTTAAGATTAACTCACAAGAACAGTTTAGTATATTTATAGTAATTAAATTTGGTCAAAATTAATGCATTATTACCAATTTGTTAAACAATTGTATCGACATACTAATCTTGCAAACAACAAAAGAACGTTTAATATCAGCTAGTTACTTATAATATAGGAAAATACGATTTTGTGAAAGAGTAAAAAAACCTCTCTTATATTATATAGCACAGTAATACGATATAGGTAATTTTAGGTAGGTAGGTCGAAATTGTACAAAAGGCCGGTAGGCGTACAATAAATTTTAGAATTATACACTGTTTGACTGAAAATGTGTTTCCAAAGACTTTGGACTTTAACATAATGTATATAATATGGTCGTTGTTTTGTTTCTGATCTGATGTTCAATTCAAAGCGTACAGTGGTTTTCTCACGTAATTATTTAATCCTGTATTTCACTTCAACCCCCGCATTTCTCCAAATTGTCACTGATTCGTGCAAGCTGCCCCGTTTATGTTGAGCACAAATTGCTTTTCTAATATACGTCTCGGGGAAAATTAGACATCGTGATCGCGCCTCCCGAGCCTCCAAGCCTTCCTTCGTATACATAAACATATAGAAAACTACCATAAACAGATATATATAGGCACGTGTTAAGCTTAACGAAGCGTTCGTTTGTATTTGTTGTTTAATAAATCATTTTTAACGGTTTAAAACGGGAAACATATTAGTCAAGTTGAATCATTTAGGTCGGTCGTGATAAAAATAAATGTATTAATTTATTCGGTATATCAAAACATTATTTTTTTGTATAAAAACCAGTTTAACGGTTTAAAACGCGAAATATATTTATTTTTAACAGTTTACTTACCTCTGTTGTGATTATAAATAAATATATTAATGTATTTCATATATTAAAACGCAAATTTTTGTATAAAACATTTCGTCGTTATACATTTACTAATATTGTAGTTTCTCG